GCTCTGGCTTCCTCAGAGTAACTCCACTCCTGCTGTACCATGACTCCAAGCTCCTGGAAAATGCCAGTGGGGCACATCTGGCCCTGGCAGCACATGTGTGTGGTTGCTCTGTATCTGTTCTCATGAGCCTTATAAACCACATCAGCCCCCATTTACTCAATTCCCAGCAGGCTCTGAAGGATCCTTCCATTTTTCTTTGCTCTGTGGGTGTTTGATCCTGGAGATGCAGCAGCCTGATCCATCTCTTGTAGGGTGGAAGCTGCCACAAGGCTCCCCTAAAGCCTTTCATCCAGCTAAAAATCAGATAATCCCTTTGGGATGAGACAAGACATAAGAAAGCAAACCCCAAATCCCCAGAATCACAAAGGGTCATAAATGCTACAAGAAATGAATCACTTTTGTACAGTTTTCCCCATGTCTGGTAAGTCCCTGGGAGCCCTTCCAGTGGTGCTGCTGAGCCTCAGAAGCAATGAATGTCCATGAATGTAACGTGGTGTGAGTTTAAGCAAACCCTTCTGTCACTGCTTTGAAGTATTTGTCTCAAACACACTTCTAAAGAAAAAAAACCCAACTTTTTCCAAGCATTCCTGCATAGGTGTGTGAAAAAAACAACTTAAACAAGCAGTAAAAATCTGGAACACAGCAAGATAATCTGGAGTTTTGGCAGGAAGCTCAGGTGATGTCAGGAAACAATTCTAAACAGAAAAGTTTCTATGGATTTTTTAAATTTTTTTTTTTTTGAGACCTAATTGGAAACAGATTTTTGCTTTGGATTTAAACACTTCCCTGCAGCATCTGCAGTTTTATCCCTGCCTCAGGCATGCCAGGAACGGGAGGGTACGGAGCAGAGGAGGGAACAGCTCAGCACCCTCCTGTTCATGTTATTGCTGCAGGTTTAAGTTGTCTTTGGACAGCCATGAAACATCATTTTCTTGGGATTATTACCCATTAGATTTCAAGGTAAATTACAAAACCCAGCGAGGCTCCTGTCCGTGGAGGTCCATCCTTCCCCCCTCATAAATCCAGGAAGGGATTTTGGAGCTTTGAGAAGAGTGAGGAGCTCGGGCAGAGTGCTCTTCTATATTAATGGTTTTGCAGTAAAGTCAACCAGCAGAGAATGTCAGAGACACCAGCGACTCCAAACCATAAACCTGACACAAAATCAGCCTGCAAACCAGTCTGAAAAGCTTATTAATCAAATAAATTAAATAAATTATGTCAGCTGAGACTTCCAGCAGTAGCACACAGAGATGATAATGGGTAAGCCCAGGAGAACATTCAAGACATGTAAACCCATCCCTGAGGTGTGACACTGCCCCAGAATTGCAGCTGTTATTGTACAGATTTATTGAGATTATAATATTTAAACTATAAATTATTAACAAATATAAAATATAGATATTAAGATAGGGAGTTTGCCAGTATTCATACTGATGCTCTTTTTTTAATGCTGACCTTATCTCCAGAGGAAGTTTAAAAATATTATTCTGAAAAATTGTTTAAAAATTTAAATAATAAAATATTAATGTATATTAAGTAAATATTAATGAAGTATTGATGAGCACTCCTATATCTTTGTCTAAAGCACTCTTTAGGTTTTTTTAACTAAAGTCCCACATGATCAAATTGATTAGTTGATTTATTAGCTGCCATATTCCAGGTTTTCTTGGTTTGGTTTTTTTTTTTTTTTTTGAGTCTTGCTTCTCACCTGTTCCCTATTCTAAGAAATGACACAAAGACCATCTAATTAAAGAGATCTGTCATGTTAGCATGGTGTTAATTGGCTTTTAAATAAATTGCAGCCCTGCTCCTTCCTCCAGGCCTGATGGGATGGGATGGGATGGGATGGGATGGGATGGGATGGGATGAAGAGGCACAAGGCAGGGCTGAGCCCCCTTTGTGCAGGGGGAGCTGCTGGCTGGGCACTGCTGCCCATCAAGGAGCAGCCTGGGCTGCCTGAATTCCCTCAGGGGTGTCTGGGAGTCCTTTCCTTGGAGCAAGGGTGCCATGAGGGTGTTTTGGTGGTGCTTTCTTCCACTGTCCCCTAAAATTGGATTGAGCCTCAGAAATACCAATATTTTACTATACAGTTGTTTTTCTTGAAGTTTTTCATCTTTCTTGCTTCAACAGTATCAGCAATAAGAAGTTGATGTGATTATCTATGAAAAAGTCGTGTTCCCCACATAATCATTGATTATCAGCGCAGTCTGTAGCTACGAGCTGTCCCTGTCGGGTACTGACTTTAATTCTTGCATCCATTTAGAGAGGGTTTCCCTCCCCTCCCCATCCATTTCCAGACATGCTTTTGAGTCCCTTTTCTGTGGCCATTTATATGAGAAATAGGCTAAAAACCTTCCAGACATCAGGTTGTTCTAGAATTTACAGGTTTGTTCTTGCCACTCTGTGTGGATGAACCAGAGAGCATCGTGGGATCTGCAGAAGAAGAGTTAATTCATTTTAATGTCAGTGAACTGGTATTTCTCAATTCCCAAAAGTAAAGTCTCTCTGTCTCCTGAATCTCTGTTGTGGAAAGCAGCTCCTGCACAGGCTAAGTCTGACAATCATAAATTATTCACTGACCAACAGACCTCAAAGTTACCTTTTTTCAGCTCTGCTGAATTTATCCTATGAGCATTAATTCTGCAGCTGAAGCCTTTCTTGCAGGCAAAGTGGGATTTTCTACGTTGTTTTTCTATTTTTTTTTTAATTCTTAGATAATATTGTGTGCAGATGGATGTTACAGAGTTTGTGTTAAAGTTTATCAAGGCTCCTGATAAGTATCCAAATAAAAATCACATTTAACTCTTTGCTCTGGCTGGTGAAACAAGATTTCATGCTTGACCTTTCCATAAGAGCTCATTTAATGGTTTGGATTTTAATTAACTGCAGTTAAAGAAAGCAGCTGCTGTGTTTGAGGACAGTTTTACACTGCCCCATCTTATTAAATACAAAAGTTTGACTCTGGAAAAGGTGGTGTTGCCCTTTCTAGTGCTCCATGAGTACAGCTGGCCTGAAAATAAATTAATTCTAATGAATTTATTGTGGTAAATTCACCACTGAATTTACTGTCCCGTGCAACAGGGAAGTGACAGTTCTTCCTCTCCTCCTGCACTCTGTACCTGCATAAATGATAATGCTAAATGGGTATCTCTAAGAAAGATTTAATTTACTATAAAGCTACAAGTATTTTTTATTTTAATTAAAGTGTAATCTTGTCTTGTGCCAGAGAAGGGTGAATATGTACATCCTGGCTGGATGAAAAGTCTATTTTCAAACATTAATATCAGCATTTCTTCCAAGCTTTTATCTAAACTCCAAGTTTCTTCTGATTTCCAATTTCATTTTTTTAAAATTAAATTGTCTCAAAATGTTGTGCTGCTTGATATTTCTAACATCAATTATTATCATTTTGCATTTAACATCATCCTTTTTTTTTTCTTCCTTTTTATGCAGTGTTTAAAGTTGCTCCATCTCTAATTGCTGGGAGAGGAAGAGCAGCAAAGCTCAGTAGTCTATTACTGCATTAACAAACAGTGCACAATGACATTTACAGTGGCACTGTTGAGGTATGGCCAGGACCACATCCCACTGAACCAGAATTCCTGCATTCCCCATCCCTGGAAGTGTTCAAGGCCGGGCTGGACAAGGCTTGGAGCACCTGACCTACTCTAAGGTGTCTCTGTCCACGGCAGGGGGCTGGAACAAGGTGATTTTTAAAGCCCTTTCCAACCCAAACCAGTCTGTGATCACAGACTTGTGCAATGTCTGCACATCTTTAACAAAAAGGAAAAGTGCACCTCTCTTCAGATTTTTGTGGGTTTTTTTTTTAGGGCAGATCAGCAAAGTCAGATTAGCCCAGCTGAAAATACTCCATCTGCCCCCTCTGCTGGTGTCCCTGCCCTAAGGCTGAAAAATGCTCTCCAGAACTGCAGTGGCCAGGAGAACTCAGGGATGTTACAGGAGAGGGCACCCTCCCTCCACAGGCACAGCAATCTATTTATGTCTATAAAATTTATCAATACCAGAAATTGGGATGGCTTAAAACACCAGTGTCCTGTGAATATTCCACATTCCATTAAATGAGAATTCTTGCATTCCCCATTCCTGCAAGTGCCCAAGGCCAGGCTGGACAGGGCTTGGAGTGACCTGGTCTAGTGGAAGGCGGCACTGCCCATGGCAGATTCCAGGATTTTACAACTCTAACACCTGAATAGCCATGCCTGGGAATTGTTGGGAGTACAAACTGGGTAGGGCCAGGCACAATGGCCATTACTGGCAGAGATAAGGGTGGATTATGGGAAGGGTGGATTCCCAAACAGCCCTACTGAACCCATCTACCCTCTTCAGGGGATTCCCTAAGTGTGGAAAATGCCACGATGAATTTTCCATGTGAGGCGTGTCATGAGTGTCACAGAGCAGAGTGGGACTCCTGCTTTTCAATCAGACTTTCTTTATCCCTGGTTAGTTAAAGGGGGAGAAAAAAAGAAGAGACAGAGAATGTCACTTATCTTGTAGAAAGGCTGGAAAAAGTATTGAAAATTCCAGTTCTGACAAAGATTTCAGGGAAACACCTCTGGTTTAGGAGCCCATTTACTTTGGTTGCATCCTCTCAAAAATGCATTGTCTAATCTGGGATTCCTGACATGCAGCCCACTCTAAGGAAGTCAAGGTTGCCAATGGAAATATTTCTACTTATGCCAATAAAACCAAATATTTTTTTTCTCATTGTTTGAGTAATATGGAATAGGAGGAAATTTTTTTTTGTGTACTTTTCAGTGTTTAAAATGACAGGCACTATCAGCCTCACCCCAATCACCTGCTGGGTTAGGTTTGGTCACAGAAATGTTATTCAGTCTGTCCCCAGTACTCTGAGGGGATATTTAAACACCCCAGGGACAACTGCTCCTCTCAGGGCTCCTGTCTCCTTCTGCAGCCCAGATTCCCATGCTGAAATCATGACACAATGCAAGTAAGATTCATATAAAGAAAATAACCTTTATTAGACAAATCAATCAAACCCTGAAGAAAGAGTGTCAGGTAAACAATACTAAAGGTTTGTCCAGCAATTTAGAAACCTTTGAAACTGAGAAATTCCAGACGTTTCATGTTCCTCTTGTTGCATTAGTAACTTCTCTCCCTCTTGTGACATGAGCTATTGTTGTCTTGACAGTCCAGAAACTTTGCATTAACCCAGCAATTATCTCAAAATAGTAACTTGTAAAATATTCCCTGTATAACTGTTTCCCACGCTATTTTGTACAAAGGTGTCAAATGTATTTTCCTTGCTGTCTGAGAAAAGAACAAGGTTTAAAAACATCCAGCTTATTAAAAATAAACAAGTGTTTTACATACAGTACAGGAATTTCCAAACTTGAAGGAACACTGTTTCCAGGGTGGCTGTGGGGTGTAACACCCATGTCTGCCAAGGGAAGAAAATTGCAGTTAAATAAATTACTACTCCATCCTCTTCCTCAGGCCAAATGTAGCACTTCTCCCACACCTGCAGGAGCTGATTTACAGCCCTGCACAAACCAGGAGTAAACAGGAACTTGGCAGCCAAGTAACCACTGTTTCCAGAAATGCTAATTTTCATTTTGTCCAAGAACAGAAGGAGGGTGTCACAGCCACACAGTGACCTTGGATGTTACTCATGAAAAAGCCACCTTGGAACACAGGGCTCGTCTGTCCTCCAGTTATGCTGTGTTACTTAAACAACATCCACTTAAGGTTCAGCATTATGATCAAGCCATTACACTCAAAACCTGTTGGTCTCGAATGCCAGCACATCCAAAGCTCCTCAAACAAGCCACAACAGTGGGACTGAAGTACCAGCAGAGGGGCTGAGTCAGAGAGGAAGCAAGGAGCCAGTCCCTGTCAGTCCAAAACCAGGGGCACAGCCAGGACAAAGCACAATGGAGCCTGAACTAAGCCACTGGAACATGAGCCAGCAGGGCAAGAGAGGAACTTGCACTGGGACAGCAGCTATGGGGGCAAGTGGCTAAAATTAGAGCCAGGAATTTTGGTGCCTCCTGAGCTCCACCAGACACAGCTCCCTATTCCTTTCCTACTGACACCTCTGCTGGCTGCTCTCTCTGGGTCAGCCTCCCACTGGCACCAGGGGAGTCTCTGCCTGGGCATCTTCCCCTTCTCTGGTGAATGCACTGAGCATTTACAGGGGGAGCTGGCAGTCAGAGCAGAGGTGGCACAGGCAGAGTGGCAGAGCTGACAGATGGTTATGAGAGAGATTAGCTCAGCACCAAGGCACTGGAAGAACCATCTGAAGAAACAATTCATAACAATGAAATTGCTTTTATTAGAATGGAAGTATTAAGCCAAGGAAATAAATTATTGCTACGATAGACATATTTAGAACATAAGGAAGGACGTTAAATCTTGAGCTTCGGGTCACTATAACCCTGAAACAGAAAGTTAGACTACTTTTTTTAAATACCTCAATTTCTCTTCATGCCCTTCCAAAAACTTTATAAAATGTGCAGCTTACACGACAAATAGTAACAGAGTCACTTGTAATAAAAATCTGTACAACTCATAGCTTTAAAAATAATACTTTTTTTTTTCCCAAACTGCTATGTTACTTATTACTTATAAATATAGGGCTAACGAGTTCTAAATGCCCAAGGTCCCATCCAACACCAAAGCTATTACATTTAGTTGACAGAAGCCATCCTGGGACTTCGCCTCAGGCAGAGGTCAAGTTTTGGGCTGTTTGAAAGAGCCTGATAATGGGCAAAAAATATCTTCAAGGATGAAGACTGTGTCCTTCTGCTGGTCAGAGGCCTGGGGTCTTCAGTGAGTTTGAAATGGCAATCAAACCTGGAACACAGCACCGTGCAATGGGTTAGACCAGCTGCACTCCCGGGACGTGGCAGGATCCCACAGGTCCCTCTGTCCTGGCCAGCAGTGACCTCACAAAACACTTGAAATCCACTGTTTGTCAGAGGTAAATTGTGGTGGGGAAAGAATATTCTCCTTGCAGGAGAAGTACAGCTCTTCCCTCTGTGCCTCAGGACTCGCCCAAAGGTTTTGTGCTGCTGTCCCTACTGCTTCTGTGGCCACTTCAAAAGTCTCACCTGTGACCCTCCACCAGGGGCTCAGGATCTTAAATCTGAACCTTGGCTGGTTCTGTACAGCTGGTTCTGTGCCATGGGCACACCCCACAGTGCCAAACCTATGACCATTCACCACCCTGTGCCTTGACCATTCAAGCCCTAATCCTGCCTCTCCCATACCCCTCAGCTCCCTGTGAGAAGGGAGGCTCAGCCCCAAGGACAGAGAGGAAAAGGCTGAGACAAGAGCAGGCTGGTTTGAGTGACAATATCAAGGGCTGCCAGCCACGAGCAGGAGCCCTGCTTGGCTGCAAGTCCTGTGAGAGTTCACCCTCTTTGGACCAACAGTGACTTCCTTACAGACAAGGCATCCTCCCAGAATCCCTAAATACTGAAGCAACCTCTGGCAGCTACCTCAGGACATCCTGACCATAACCTAGCAGGTTCCTTTGCCTGGCAAAGTACCATTTCCTTTGGAGGTTCAAAGGAAACTGTGGGATAAATCTGCCTTGGGGAGAATACTGTGATTCCCCAAGGCAGTTCAGAGGGACTAAGAGCAGGATTTTGGCAAACAGCCACAAGAAATAGATTAGTGGTTAGACAGGTGGCAGCATTCAGAGGAAAGCAGCTCATCTGAACACTCAGGAGGTGGTCAACCTGAACATGATTTTGTTTATTTTGCTTCTGCAAGGCAGAAAGCATCAGACCAGCTGTTCAGAGTGTGGCTCCATGGGAGCTGCTCCTCTGTAATGAATCAGAGCCTCAGACACCAGTCAGGAATGCATGGGGAAAACTCACACAGGAGCTGAGGTGAGATTCCCCTGACTCAGAGCTACTGACAAACCTGACCAGCACTCAGAACTGCTGGAAAATCCCCTGCAGGGGCTACTTACAACAACTCCACTTCCTGAGGCGGGGCCGAGGGGCTCACACTATTCTTGAGGGACTTATGGTGACCTGGCCTGCTTTCTGCAGAAGAGAGAAGCCAGTGTTAGTAGGGGGGTTAGAGGACAACAGCATCAGGACAGGATCTAGTGGGAACGGAAGCAGCTGAGAACTCTCAGGAACACACCAACATCTCAGAGCAACAGGCTCCCACTATACTCCCTCTCATCATTCCCCAAAAAACGCCCAGACCTCCCAGGAAAGGAGCTTGGCAGCAGGTGCAGCAGAGCTCCAGCCACTCCAGGAGGTTATATATGTACCCCAGCCCATGGTAGCATTATAGCTCCTGTTTGTGCAACATCTCCTTGTGCAGCCTCCAGCACTGCAGGTCCTTTCCAGCTCATCTCCTCAGGGATCCCGGCCACTGCAGGGGTGGCTCCTGCACCAGAGGCTCTCATCTGCCCCAGAGGGGCCAAGTCTCTGCAAGAGGAAGTGTCACTTCCCCACAGTCACCCCAAGCCCAAAAGCAGCATCTTCAGTCCCCCTGTGAGAAGCAGTGGCTTGAACTGGGGAGGCAGGTACAGGAGCAGGCAAAGTCAAGAGAGTGTTTTGGCTGCTTGCACTTACTGCAGAAATGTACTGGCTGTTTGTGAACCTGGGTCTGCCCTCCATGGCAGAGCTGTGCTGTGGGCCTACGGGCATGTAAGGGGGCGAGCCCATGTCTTCACAGAAGCTTTCTTGTGGGATGTTGGAGACACAGCCACTGTCGGAGCCGCTGGAGCCCGTGGCTGACATGCAGTGCGATGACTCTGAGCTCTCTGTTGCTGGGGAAAGAGAGGAAGGTCACTCTGATAACCACAGATCACTAACAGATCACAGATAACTTTGGGTTGCATATAACCCATGCCACATAAGCTTGATAATGTACCTGTCTGCAGGGCATTGGCTACACAATCCCACAGATCAGCCACACTCCTGTCTGGGCCTCTTGAAGGCCACAGACAACAAACCAACACAAGGAAGAAGGGCTATAATGGTGCTGGTGATTGGTATGGGCTGGCCAATGAAGTTAACACAAGGGATAGACAAAGGGTGATGGGGCCAGGATGGTGAGGGCAAAGGACAGAGCACTTCATACCAGAGGGGCAGGGACACAAATCCCCAAGACCACAGCAGTATCAGTGCACAGCACCAAGCCTGTCATGGCTATGGCTGCAGCTCAGCAGGTGCTTTATAAGCCCTCTATTTGAGCTAACTCCTGTCATGGAACCTGAGACAGAGCTGGCATAGAAGGGCAGGGCCCTCATGCCCTGGTCTGGGTAGGAGACAGGGACTGCCATGATCCCAGCAAGCCTGGTCTGACCACACAGCACAGAACAAAGAGCAGGGATGAGCCCACACACCCCAGGTGCTGCAGAGCAGTGGGGCTGTACTTACTCATTGAGGGCTGGCTGCTCGTCTCGTGCTCCAGCTCATCTTCCTCAATGCAAGTGCCAATGTCAAAGGGACGCCTGGGGGCCAGGACCCCTGGCAGCAGAGCCTGGTCCAAGTACATGTGGAGGTTGAGGGGCCCCAGCAGGGAGGAGGAGGAGGAAGGGGAATAGGCAGTGGGGGTGCTGCCGGTGGAGAGCTGCGTCTGTGTCCTCTTGAAGGGGTTGGAATGGTCAAACAGAGACACTGCAATTGAGGCTCTGGTCCTGGCACCTGCCAGAAAACATACAAAAAAACCCCTGAGAACCAGTCCTGCCTCACTCACAAGGATCAAGGGGAAAGGCACAGCTGGCACCTACCTCTGCCTTTCATGATGTAATCGATAGCACGGTCATTAATAGCTGCCTCACTGGGTTTGATATCCAGGAAGGGCTTGTTACCCACACCCATGGAGACCATCTCCTGCATACGGATTTCTGGAGAGGAAGAGACCCACAGCCACATTGTGAGGTTGACCCAACCTAACCCTTCCCACAGGCATTATTCAGCCACAGGTTAGAGCACTTGTGGGCTGGGCTGCTCCTGAACTGCTGAGATTAGATCTCCTCTCCCCTTGCTGCCCTCCCCAGCACTGTGGAGTCTCCAGGAACAAGCAATCATGCCCTGCTCTGGCCAAGTAGCTCAGCGCCATGCCACCTACGAGAGTCCTGCCAAGCGGGAAGCCTGTGGGGGACAGGAGGGACTTGGTCAGCATCACTCAGCAGTGAGCTCCAGTAGTGGCCCACATCACTGAGGAGACCAATAAGTCTTTCAGGGGCACAGCCTGTGCTCACAAGGCAGGGAACCCTGAGCGTGGATCTTCTGTTTCTCTCATGGAGAACAGGTGGGTGTCTACAGTCAAACAGAGCTTGGACCAGTCGAATTCCCTGGGGATGAGGGGCAGGGAAGGGACATGCCCAGCCAAGCCCAGCACATGCTCCTGAGGCTGCATGCTGGCACACAGCTGCTTGCTGCACAGAGCTGCCTGGTAACAGGATCCAAACCTACTCAGGACAGCACGAGCTGAACAGGGCTCCCGCACCTTTTGCGGCACAGAAGGAATTCCAGGAAGGAATCACACCTTTATTGCGGGCTGCCTGCTGCCACAGGATTTTGGCAATGTCACTGGTCCAGGCCTGCTTAGTCTCAGCTGAGCTGGCCTGGAGGATGTAGGTGTCACTGGACTTCCGCCTTCGGAACCAGATCTCAAAGCGCAGGCCGCTGTCTCCACAGTTCTCAGTCAGACCAATGTCTGCAGTCTGGGAGGAAGAGGAAAAGCAAAGCATAAACCAGACTGCACCACGAGCAGAAGGAGTAAGCTGCTTGAACATTGTGCTAGAGCTATCCCCAGTTTGGCAGACCTAAGAGGAAGGAGCCTCAGGGTCTGGAAAGCAGCAGGTATGTCCTGGACATGGCTGAGCACAGACAGCTCAGCCAATTCCTAGTACTCCATCCAGAATTACCACCACTTCCCTGCCACATACACACTGCCTTTCCCCCATACTCCACGACCTTCAGAAAATGCTGGCCCCACATCCCACAGCACAGAGGGCCTAAGCATTAATGAGTGAAGTATTTATTCCCTTCCGATTTGACTGCTTGTTTTGGAGGAGGCTTAGAAGTGGTGGGAGCAGCTCTTCTGCTGAAGGCACTCCTGCTTCCCATTTCAGAGGCATGTGCCATGGGGAAACCAGCCATGGACAGCTCCCACACAAGAGGGAGCTGCAGGGCTGCCCTTACCTTGAAGGAGTGCTTGTAGATATACACATCAAAGCCACCATCGATCCTCTTGGGCTTGCTGAAGAGGATGAGGTCCTCAAAGAGGAAGATGTGTCGCTGGTACTTCCTGCGGCCCAGCCAGATGGTGAACTCGTCCTGCCGCACCAGCTGCCCCTGCTCCTTCAGGTTTACCTGGACATGAGAGGACATCCTTGTAAGACTCCACCAGCATGACCCAGGCAGCCCTAGACCTGGACTTGGAAAACATGGTCCCATATGGCTGTAGCCCAGGTGGTGAAGAAGTGGCAGCTACCTGACATCTTAAGAGGGCTCTTGAAGTTCAAGTCAGGCTGCATGGCATTGCTGGGAACCACATCAGGTGAAACAACTGACTCCAAGCTCAGGGGAGAGCTGGACCCATCACTGGTAAGCATCTGGGAGCATGTTTATGACAAGCAGTTCACCCAGCTCAGGTAGCAGCACCCAGGAAATCAAGGAGGCCTCCAGGCCTGTACTGGCAGACACCACTCTGATCACTGGGAGAACCTGAGGGGAGGCTCACCATACAATCCAAAGACCCCAGGTCTAGAGAAGGGGAATAAGGGTGGCTCTGCTCCCCTGGGCAGGGAAGACTCTGGAACGTACGTCACAGTCACGGATGGCATCCATGGCCAGCAGGTCATTCCCATGCCGGAGCTGAAACTTCACCATCTCCTCAGCAGCACGGAGATAGCCCAGCTCCTGCTCCTGTGCCTCGCTGCACTCCTTGATCAGGTCCTTCAGGAGCAGGGCATATTTGCTCATCCGCTGGATGGGTTTCAGCAGGTAGGAGGCCAGGTCCATCTTATCCCCCAGCTGCACCTGCTTGAACTGAGAAATGCAGCACAGTGAAGGCAGCAGCCTCCCCAAGGAGAACCCCATGCCCCCAGGCAAGCACTGACACCTCTTGACTGGGGTACTCAGGGAAAATGAGTACTCTTAGGGAAATGCAAGGCCACAGGAGCAATGCTGCTGTGTGCTGGGCTCCTTTCTCAAGCCCTCTCTGCACTTCTGCCCTGTCCCTTCCATACAGCTGTGCAGAGAGTTGTGTCAGGGAAGCAGAGGCAGCACTGAGCCTGCCTTAGGCAGGTAAGTTGGCTTTACTTAAACAGATCAGTGACCAAACACACTGAGCAATCCTGATACAGGCAGTGGAACTCACCTTGAAGAAGTTATTCCCATGGCTGGCCAGCAGCAAGTCTGACTTTGGCTTGTTCTTGCTATACAGTGCATACATTCCAAACTGGTCTTTCTGCAGAAGAGATCCATCCTCCAGTGAGACCCATGCACCCAGGACACAGTGACAGACACAACCCTGGTAGGTTACTCTAGTACTTCTGCCTCTCCTAGGCTGCACCAGAGCCTCCTCTGATAGCAGAAATAACTTTATTTCAAGCTCACTAAGAGCCAGGGAATGTTCTTGTCTTCCTACTCTCAGAGCAGCTAGGACTTTTTGATTCATTGTTCTGCTATCCCTAGTTTCTTCCATACCCCAATAGTCACCTGGTACAATTCACAGCATGTAGCAGCAAATGCATGGGGCAGCTGACCTTAAGACCTGTGTCCCTGCGCTTCTGCCCAGCAGCTGTTTTCTCTCAGAGTTGGTCTGTACCTTTCTGCTCACTCTAGTCATTACCTCTGACACCACAGACAGAAAACATGTTAGGGGTGTCCCTGGAGAAATAGATGGGCTTTAAGGAGCAGACATTCTGTTCCTCTAGCAGTGTCTCTTGGTAGCAAAGCACAACATGAAAGGCACAGAAACCAAACTCATGTCTGGAAGAGCCCGACCCCAGGGGCAAGGTGCTGATGCCTTACGTGTCGCAGGAAGCAGTGGCTGACCCTCAGTGGGTGGTTGCAGCAGCTCTCAAGCTCTCGAAGGAAGTACTGGCTATGGAAGTCATAGAGTTTCTCCAGGTTTCCAAAGATGACGCTGCGCTTCCCTCGCAGGTCCTGGGGCAGGTCCAGGCGCTCCATCTCGGGGAAGTAGCTGTCGATGATGTAGCGGAGCGACCGCACGTACTCCCGCTCCGTGGTCACCATCTCATCGATGATGTGCCGCAGTTTGCTGCAACAGGGAACACCCAGCCCTGAAGGGACCCAGAGTGCCTGCAAAGCACTGCACTAGTGCTACAGAAGCTCTCTCTGACACCCAGCATGGAAATGAGATGATCCTCAGCACAGACCAAGCTCAGATACACAACCGCCCATGATTGCTCTGACCCTGAGCCCTGACAGGACTCAAGGGACAGCATGAAGCTGTGTCAGGGGAGGTTTAGGCTGAAGCTATAAGGAAAGGGTCCTTCACCCAGAGAGAGGGTGCTAAGGCACTAGAACAGGCTCCCCTGAGAAGTGGTCATGGCATCAAGCCTGTCAGAGCTAAGAAGCATTTAGACAAGGCTCTCTAGTACATGGTGTGATTCGTGGAGTAATCCAATGCAGTCAGAAGTTGGATCAATTATCTTTTTGGGTCTCCCTTTCAGCTTGGGATATTCCATGATTCTAAGGACTCAGGAAGGGAGTGCCCAAGGCTGGCTGTGATCCTGACCCAAACTCAGCAGGACACACACCCCTGGGCTCACCCAGCCCCTGCTCTGGACACAGTGGGCTGCTCTGCAGATGGCTGCTCTCCTGAAACAACAGTGACAGCAGCAGTCACACTGACTTCTGTGAGGAGTTGGCCTTATGACTAGAGACTATGGGAAGCAATGTTAACCCTGGGAGAACAATAGCTCTAGAATTAGGTGCTGTTGGGCTTGTCCTAGTAAAAGTGAGAGAGTAAAACTGAAGTGTCCTAGCACTTCCATCAGTGAACAGCAGTTCCTAGCACAGGTTGCTCTCACATATCTCAAAGGATGCCTCTTAGGTACTCGAGGATTCCACTGTGAGGCAGTGTAGCACCAAGCATAACTCCAACGTGTCCCTCCCCTGCATTTCAGCCTTTCCTCGATTCAACTCCTCTGGCTGTTCAGAGAACAGAGCAATGGAAATGTCTCAGCACCCAGACATGAGAGGCCTGCTGCACTGCTCCCTTGAGAAGCAAAGTGGTCACCTTGCTATCTGCTGGCACACATTCCCTGCCATGAGCTTTTCTGGCTATCCCAGGGATACTGGAGCCCCCTTCCAGAAGATTTCACTGTCCCCAGCCATTTCACTCGACACGGCCCCCCAGCATCCAGCACTCTTTTCTCTGCCATTAATTTTTTACTTATATTTTAATTTTTTCCAGTGAGAGCAACTGAAAGACATTCCTGGAGACCATTTGTCAAGAACAGCTCATATCCCTGGGCTCTCCAAAGCATAGGCACACATTGTAGGACAACAACAAAGTTGAGATTGTCAAGGATAGAGAAGGAAAGCAGCACAAATGCCAGCTGTTGGACACCCAGAGATTTCAGCCCCAAAGCACAAATACAAACACCCTCTCACCTGTGAAGCTGCTGTCACAAGGTGCTGGATGTGCCTCCCTACCAGTCTGGGTACAGCACTCCCAAAAGTGTGGGGGACAATGCCCTGAGCTTCTGCTCTCCCACTGCACCTGTACTCCTGGCTTCATTAGGTCACTGAATACTGCTTCTGTAATCCCTCATTCTCCAATGGAAGCAATGTTCAGAGACTCCCTCTCCTATCTGGGAACTGAACTTTCTCCTCCTAGAGGAATCACACTGTGAGGGAAGAGCCACAAATCCCATTTCTCTGTTGCCCCACCTAGGCAGGTGCCAGATTATGTGGGGACATCCCTGTGGGCTTGCTCAGCATCACATACACACACACACGCAGGGAAGCTGGAGCTACATCTCCATCTGTCCTGTAACCAGCACTACAGAACTCCTCTAATCTCTGCTGGCTGCCTTTTCACCACCCTGAGAAAGGGAACACCAAATGTCACAGACACTTACCTGCCCCAGCTCTTGGCTTCTGCCCCGGAGAGGCAGCCCCTCTGTCCCTCCAGCAGGCAGTCTGCAGCCCAGCTGCTCACAGCTGGCTGCCTCAGAGCGAATGTCCTGTCCACCAGCTCAGTGCTGCTCACCTCCAGCCCCTTGATGAAGACGCCGGTGTTGCCGTACCGGGCCGGCTCGCTCCTCTGGCAGCTGGCCCACAGGCTCTCACCATAAGGCAGGTCAAAGCTTTGGGCCTTCCGGAGCACCTTCCTGGGAGGCAGCTTCCCAGGGACTGGAGTGGATGTAGAAGACTGCCTCACCTCTGGGGCTTCTAAAATGCTCTCCAGGTTTGGCTTTTCTTCAGGCAGCATTGAAGACTTACAAGCCCTGCTGGCGAAAGAAATTCTGCTGGAGTGAGGACCAGGGCTGAGAGGAGCTGGGCAGACAAAAACTTCCCCAGCATCGACATCTCCAGGGCAGCTCAGGGAGGGCGAGGGAGCTTTCTCCCTAGTCCACTCCAGACAGCTGTTGCTTCTGCTGTAGCCATGAGATGTGCTCGGAGTCCTGTCCCAGTGGGACCTGGAGGTGGCCCCCTCAGAGTGCCTCCGGTGGGACAGAGTGCCACTCTCACTGCCAGCGTGGGGCTGCTCCCCCACAGCTGGGTTGCGGTCTGACAGCAGAGACTTCCTTGTTCTCAAGGCTGCTTCCAGTTTCTTTTCAAAAACCAGCTTGGTCTCCTGGCATTTAGACCATGCAAATTTCCACTGCTTGAGCCCCTTGTCACTCTTCAGCTCACAGGCCAGCTCCTTCATCTCCTGGAACCGGGCAGCACTGATGTCCGGGTGCTGCCCCTTGTAACTCTCCAGGCACTTGATGACATCTGCACAGTGCTCAGGAGAGCTGCAGTCCTCCATGCTGATACAGGCAAGGTGTCGCATCCCTTCCAAGGCCCACTCGTACGCCTGCAGAGCGAGAACAAAAAGCAACAGCCAGTCAGAGGGACTCGGTGAAGAACAACCCTAATTCAGTGCCTGAAGATAAGAGAAAGGATCAGTGTCTGGCCACCACAGTTCCTTGAGTGTAGAGAGTGGGGGGGGCTGCTATTGTCAATGGGGCTTAACAATTCAGCAAAACAAACAGCCCCTTATGCAGAGGGCTTCAGCTGTGCTGGCTGCTCTGTCACAGCCCCACCTCCCCACCAGGTCCCTGCGAGCTGGTGCCCACACTGCTGGGCATGTTTGTCCTCTCCGGGCAGGGGGGGCCAGGGAAAGCTGCTGCTAAGACTGCAGGAATTCACACCTCAGTGTGGGCCTGCTCAGTATAAAACCTGGAACTCTCTCTCCTCTTTTGCCCAGACACTTTCACCACTGTCAAACAGGATAAGGTCAAAGGGCACCAGTAAGCTGCAGGCAATGGGACTGCTGCTCCCTACACTGTTTTCCTGGAGCTGACAGCACACAGAAGGCAGAGCTGGCTCTGTGGATCACCCCAAATGCTCTGACCCATCCTTGCAGCAAGGAAGAATCTGGCACCGTGCAGCTTGTGCATTTTCTGTGTCTGCTGGCAGCTTGTGTGGTGTGCTGTGCCTGCCTGGCTCTGCTTGCCACTGCACTACATGCTTGTGCTCGTTAGTCAAATACTGAGCTCAGCAGTTTATTTCTAATACTCCAGGAATGCTGGAAGCAGCTTCATGGGGCTTAACTCTAGCAGTGGTGCATATGCTGGCCTTGCTAAAACAGTTCTGCTGCATCAGTCAACCAAGAGAAGTGGGACAAAATGTGGTCCAGTGGGACACATACAAAGGAACAGTGAGTGTATTATCACCATGGAAAGAACGGGGCTTAGCACCAAGACCTGTCATCAATCAAAAGCAGAAGAAAGACAAACATCTGACTTAGGCCACCATTTTCTCTATAAAGCAGAGATGGTAAGATTTAATGATAGAGTAAATAAGATGTGACCAGCTGCTGTAGGCCTGGCTAGAGAATTTTAATGGTCATCAGTGAACACACAGGGTTATTTGTTGAAATCAGATACACAAGGTGGGGAAAACACCCTGGACAGGGCTGCCTGGCATCTTCTGCCAACTGCTCAACATCAGTGGATTTGCAGAAACACCACTGGATGCCCAGAAGTGAGCCAGACCATCTCTACCACTTGACCTGTCAGGCCCTGTGTACCTGCAGAGAAACAACATTCATAATGAGTGCCAGGAACAAAGTGATTGGTTTTTCCATTTTCCATTTCCTGAGCAGCCTCACTGTAGCAACCTTCACTCAGCTTAAATCACTTACTTTTATGCAGCTTTAGACATCAAGAAAATCTAGCCAAGCTTTATACAAGCAGACATTGCATCCCTAACAGGGACATGGTGGTCAAACCTATCAGGTGCCAGGCTCACTCTCTGCTGGTGGCACAGACAGGCAGGGCAGAAGGTATTTCATTCACATGATGCTCAGTCCCTGATGGGGATGGCTTTGACAGCCAAACACTGCTGTTTGTAGGAGAGCTGAATGCCAGCCCAGCCTGCAGCCTGAGCAGAGTCACTCTAGGGCCAGATTCCACAGCAGCTCCCACAGCCATCCACATTCTCTTTTGAGCTGCAGCTGCATGTGTGCGTGCAGCCAGCCCCATTACTCATGCAGAGCAAGGAGCTGCTTCAGAAGCACCAGCAGCTGCTCAGGGAAAATGCTCCTCAGCTCCACCCAACTGCAGCATGGAACAATCCAGAGAGCAGCAGCCCCCTTTCCTCCCATCACCCTGCCTAGAGCAGCAACAGGCCCCTGACCTGCCTCCCTCTTATCCAGGCTTTATGCTCCAGACTTGCCCACTGCTGGCAGCCAGGAGGGGTGTGCAGAGGCAGAGGACATGTCAGATTTTGGTGGGAATCTGCATTTGTCCTTGATGCAGAGGTTTTTCTATTTCCTGGAGGTGGAAGCATTTCAAGGCAAAGTGAATCCCCAAGGCAGCAGATCTGCACAGCAGTGACAGATGGCCTATTCTGCTGTGGGGTTTTGAGCTGCCGCCTCCAGCTGGACATAAACCAACACCAGCCCCTTCCAGCTCTGCCCAGAGCAAGGGCTGGCCATCCCATCTTTCGAAGAAAGGGCACATCTCACCTCTCTGGCTGTGCAGGTCAATGGGTGATCCCCACTGAAGGCTGCATGCTGGCTGCCATTTGCTTGATGGGAAAAGCTGAACTCAAAAGACACACGGGGCTGTCAAAGAGGGTGCTGAGAGCAATGTTCAGGAGAGGGACATCCAGTAGGCCTGCCTGGACTCTACAGGAACCAGTCAGGAAGGCAGATGCCCCGTGAAGGCCTTATCTACTAATTTCCATGCACAGATACGAGACAGAGAAAAGAGACTTCTTTTATTTCCTAGAAATTCTTCAGATCTGCATGTGACTACTGTGAGGAGGGATCAGGGCTGCAAAGCACACAGGACAGCAGTCCCAACAACCTCTCATCTTCATTTGGTCTCTGTCTGTTCTTGGCAAGGACACCAGGGCTGAGCAGAAATGACTCTCAATCTTGATGGCATTTCCTTCCATCACCAGTGCCTGTCACAGGCCAGCAAATAGCTCAGCTTTGTTCCCTGCAGAATGGAGCAGCCTCCACATCCTGCAGCTTTGCTTGGTAACAAGCTAAGTGACCACCAAGGCTTTCTCCAGTCACATCATCTGCTTCAACTGCCCCTTTTTGCACATAAATGGCAATCCTCTCCAGGGACCAAGTGTGCCCCCATTCTCCTGCAGGCAGGGGTATTGCTGTCACCTGTTCCCCAGTAAGGCTGCAAACAACACTCAGCCAAGCCAGGATACAGCCCTCTGGATGAGGGGCTTTTGGGGAGCAGGCAGCTCCACAGCTTCCCTGCAGAGCTGCAAGAGCTGCTCAGATAAAAGGAGGCACCTGTGCACAGGAAAGCTGAAACCACCCCAACCATGTCTGGAACCAGGCAGGAAAGAGCCTGTACCTCAGCTTTTGATCTTTACAGGCAAGTTGTTACTGAACCTCTCAATTACAGGATTAAAGACAAATGTGCTTCCTGCATACGCCTAACTGACCTATCCTGCAACAGCATCAGCAACAGGTTGGCCCTGCCAGGCTGCTCAGGGCTCTCAGGGAGCTGCCACGCTGAAAGGAAAAGCCAGGGACTTCACTGGATTATGGTGCAACCCTCAAACCCATCATCCTCTGCTGGTCTTCTGGTCATTTCACCATGGACAAGGCTTGCAGCACATTGAGGAGCTCCTGGAGTCTGTTGGGTTTGGCACCACGTAAGTTCCATCTGCAAACACAGGCCCAGAGAAGTTGCTCAGCCCTGGCTCAGGGCACACTGCCAGTACTGAAAGCCTTCCAGGGGTCCTGGATCCTCACCTGAGCCACTACTCAGAAACTACACCTCCCCAACCCAAACCTATCACAAACCTATCAGATTCCTTGCATACTCAAGGTTAAGTGACCTCTAAGACACCTTCTGGGCAGCCAAAAGAAGGAGCAGGCACTGTGCATCTCACATATATGCCAGAAGGGGCAATTTCAGGGGCCTGCCTTTGTCCAAACCTCCTTCATCCTTTCCTGTGGGGAGATGATGACAGTACCTATAATTCCTTTACAAATAGCAAACTGAATGTCTGAATAGGCAGAAGTGGGCAGATCAATTTTCTGCAGAAGAAAAATGCAGAAAAACCTTCTCTCTGCTGTGAGAAGGTTTCCTTTGGAATCTCAAGTGCCTGCACAGTGCATCTTGAGACAGTCAAGATGGCCCTGGTGAGAGCAACAATATAGGCAGGAATGGAATCATGCTTGTGGGTATAATGACTGAAGGCCAGCAAACAAGACAGACCAAGTTTCTCACTCTTCTGTGCTGATGTCCCAGGACTGGAAGCCCCCATCTGCCTTGCTCTCTACAGCTCAGAGAGGGGGAAGCAGCACAGCAGCTGAGAACACTGCCAAGGGCAGCAGAAAAGGAACTGACATAAACAAGCCCTGATCCAGCTTGGTGCAGCTCCTGCACCCAGGCTGGGCTCCACTCTGCTGTTTCTCAGTGAGACACAACTGACTGTAGGTCTCTGTAGAAAGAAACAACTACACAGCCCTCCATTAACCAGACCTCCTCTCACTACCACTGTACTCTTTTTAAATGCCCTTAACTTCAGCTGTGAGCTTTAAGAGCAAAATGAGGTTAGCTTGCAGCAAAAGAGGCAAAACTGGTGCAGCCAGAAAAATTAAAAGCATCACAGGTACTGCTGTGAACTAAACAAAGCACTTCCCAACCTATGCAGGGTGTCACACAGGCACTGAGTCCTGCAGCTGCCCTGCTGGCCACCCACAGCCTTGGTACTGACCCAAGTGCAGCTCAGACACAGATTGCAGCACTCCCAGCACAGGGGTAAAGTGTGACAGGGACTCACCAGAACACCACTCCAAAGTAAATGCAGCTCAATTGCAAGAAAATGCTACTGCCATTGCTGATGTTTATTTGGGCTTATTCCCTCTGAAATCCAACATGGCTTTAGATTGATTTGAGAAGTGACTCCTGCTCACAGCACTGGTATGTCCCTTGTCACAGGCTGCTGCATGCACAGTGGTAGCAGGGACCCATGGCTGGAGACTGCTTTATTATGCTGACAGTTCAGAAGGACCATGATTAAAAAGCTATTTCACATCAAAATATACTGAGAGCAAGATTACCCAGGCTTACCTTACTTACCACAAGAACTGTCAGCTGGCAAATGGTGACAAGACTAACTCAGAGACCAAGCAGCTTCAGCAGAAAGTGGTCAGCTCACCATACACTTGGATCTGCCTTAGGCTTTCCTCAGGCTGCCACCTACCAGTACTAACAGCACCCGTGAAGAAAGGAGCAGGGAAAGAGCAAGACTTCAGGATCTGCAGATGTTCCCTTGGCAAGTCTATCTGTTGGTTAAAAACAGACTTCATCCTACCTTCCCACGTGT